AGAGTTCTTTCTGCACATCTGGTTTTAATAGCTTACAGGGAGGAAGGAGAATGTGCAGCTCACTGGGAAAGGAATCACTGCCAGCTGAGGGGTCACCACAGCAAAACAGAAACACGGAGCTGCCGGGGGAACACACAAACATGGGTGTGAGCACACACATGCGCACACGCTGCACCAGGGTGAGCACTTGCACTTCCATGTCAGAGAAGGGAGAAGTGAGGCAGAGGGGAAAAAAACCAACCAAACAAACAAGATCTTCCCAAAAGTGCACTCACCAGTGCCAGCGTTCCCAGGTCAGTAATGGGATTACATCACTGCTGTGCACTCGCCAGCTGAGCTCATTACAATGCTTAACGAGCATCTTGCCACCAAAATTTGAAATCCTGATAGCGGTTAGGACTCAGGAGGAAGCCATCCAAAGCAGCACGCAGGGAGAAGAACAGAAGGAATTTAATTTCCCCTATCTGCCAGCCTGAGTTTTCAAAAGCAACACATGATCCTCTTGCCTTTTGAGGCTTTTAATTGAAGGAACAAGATGGAATCTTGCAATTGCTCAGTAATTATTGCACTGATGAAAATGTATTTGATGGTGCTAAGTTTCTCCTGACAGGAGAGGCACATTCTGAGGAAGCCTTAAATGTGAGAAGAGAGAAATCAAACTCTTAACTACTAAGTGAAGTTTTAAGCCAAATCAGTAATTTTCATTTCAAGATATTACCAAATATTTTCCTAATTATAGTTATTATATAATTGTAGATTATAAATGAAAACGCACTATAATTCATGGCAGGAAAAACAATGACTGGAACCTGCTTAAGCAGAAGGTAAAACATGAGGAAGATGGCTTTCTGCAAAGGCAGAACCAAGCACATTTCCTAAAATACAGATTCTCTGTTCATCTGAGTGCCCGTTTTTACCAAATACTGAAAATTGTTCCACTCTTATGATTAATACTGCGTTTTCTGTATGCTGTAAGCAGAAGATCAAAGTCACTTACACGTGTCTGTAGTTTAATGACAGCATCAATCTGTAGCCACTCTAAGGGGCAGCAGCTCAAAATCATCTTCCCGGGCGGAGGGGAGCTGGGAAGCAGCAGGAAAGGGTGGACCAGTGACATTTCTGCTTCATCCAAACCTCACCAAGGCCACGCAGCTAAAAGAGAAAACTGTTTCTTTTAAAGGTGGGCTTTTACACTTGGGAAAATATCCCATATTTTTGCCAAGGCCAGACTTTTTATCACGAGTTGTTATGTCAAACCCAGACTGCAGGGATGGATTTTAGCAGCTTCGTTCCACAGATGGAATCCTGACCCTTTAGAGGTACCAGCCAGTGCTCAATCTAAAATCCAAATATTCTTAAATATAATTCCTTGCCAGAACTTGACTGATAGCCCGGGGGGGCATAATTAATTTACACGACACTATTTCTGGAACTACTAGTCTTACATCATAATATTTAAAAGCTCCTATCTATACACTTCTCAGGCCTTTGAAGGAACCATCCACTTCTCTTAGTCCTTAAATGGAAGTATTTTTCTACTTGATGTATCCCTTTCTGCAGGATCCCAGCCCCAAGGAATGCTCCACTGACAATCAAAGAGCAGCAACGTAGGAAACCCAACGGTAATGTTACAAAAACACCACTTTTTGTGGAGAAACAGTGACATCCAGTGGCCAGCAGTACCCCCGAATCCCCGCTGCGGATGGACACGGCCTCGGCAGGAAATTCTTCAAAAAGGAGTTGCAAGTACACGCTTGTGAGAATTATAGTCGCTCACTTATTCTTTGTATCAAAATATTTCATAGAAACATCTCTAACTTAAAACCTCGAGTTCCAAATAAGGCTGGTTTCGGTGATGCAGCCGTGTGCCATAAATATAAAATTACACACCCGAGGATGTTGGAGCGCAGCTGCTACACGATGCCATCAGATCTGTGGAAAAGTGTGTAAAAATACTGAGGGGCTCCCAGTGTGGCCTCACCTTCCCCACAGGGTTATGTTTAATTATTATGTTTAATTTGAGGCAGTTGCTGACGCAGCCAAACACCAAACGTATCCAAACCCCAGTATAACAGGGTTATCTCATTTGTCTTCTGAAACAGGATTCTTTTTTTAGAAGCACAGAAGACAAAACCCCTGAAATCTTGTCTTTTTTTTCTGTCTTTTTTTTTTTTTTAAGAGAGAACAGTCTAGAAATTAAGTGAAGCCACGAGCAAAAAGCACAAAGGCCAGACACAAAGCTCAGGTTGCAGCAGGATTAAGAGGTTATCAGGATCTGTTGTCTATATGGGTAAATTAGGATTACTCCATTTTAACATCATATAGATAGGCATATGTGTATTTAATAGGCCAAAGCCTATTAAAGTCTTATTTCCGTTATGACTAGTTGGCTCTAAGCAGATTGACCTGAGGGACCACCACACTGTAAGAAAAACAAATGTTGTCCCTTAACAACATCACTCATAATTCCTGATGCCTCTTTGTCTTTCCTTCACGACTTCTTCAGTGTAAACAATGCATGTTACGCAAATTCACATTTACATTTTCTTGCAGTTGATATAATTTCCCAAATTCATCTCATTTAATATAATTGCAAAGATTTTTCCTTACTAATGAAGAGATCCCTTACAGTCATCTCTTCCAGCCAGTGACTGCCACCTTCCCGTCAGCTGGGGGATCAGAAGCCTCGTTAAGAAGCTCCTCCAAGAGAAGCAGGAGCCCAGCACAAGTGTCCCCGTGTCCCCACAACGAGCCATCTGGGTGTCCCGCTCCACACTTCACCCAGGTGGTGCCACAACACTGCAGCATCTGGGGATCTCAGTCCTCGGGCTTTGGCTTTGATGGGCTGTTGCGTGCCACCTTGAGCAGGCCCAACAAGCCCCACTGAGGACATCCTCCTGCAGGGCTGGGGCAAACAGCACAGGGACACATTCCGTGTCACACCATCAGCTCACGCAGCCCACGCTGGGCCTGAGCTGCTCCCCACAATCACAAAACACCTGAACATCTCCCCCCCTCCCTTCCCACTGCTGGTTACCTCAGGTGCAGTGCCAGGCCCAAGCAGGCTCCACGCATGGACCACCCACCCACAGGAACACCAGACCCCAAAGCCATCTGCACCCAACACTGCCCAGGGGCACCACGCCACGTTTGAGCAACACTCAAGGGTTCTCCTTCAGCCACTGACCCTGGGGACGGGCACCTCACCCTGATCTTCAGACTGGTATCTACAGCAAACTGCCCCCTGCAGCGCCTGTGACTGTCACTGTGCAGCACAGCTTAATGATTAGGAGAACTTGAGAAAGGACATCTCTTAATTATCAGCCAGAGGAGATAAAGCAGCTGGTTTTACCGTAAGTAAATCACCAGCAGAAAAATAAAGAAAAATAATAATGTAAATTTATTCAGTGCCGTAATCTCCTCTGTACTATAAATTGCTCGGGGAGTTTATTCCCTGCTGAGCAGAGGGCTGTGACACCCAGTCACAAGTGACACAATCAGAGAGGTTGGAAGGGACCTCCCGAGGTCACCTTGCCCAGCCCCCTGCTCAGCCAGGGCCACCTAGAGCTGGCTGCCCAGAACCATGTCCAGATGGCTTTTGAGTCTCTCCAGGCAACCCACCTGGGAGGTTTGTCTGGAGAAAACAAAACCTGGCAGAGTGGCAAAACTGCAAAAAAGCACAAAATCGAGGAAAGGCAAAAAACAGCAATTGCAGGAAACCTCAGGCAATCTAAGGAAGGCATCTCCTACAGGAGAACCAGCAGCTGTTTTCAGAACTTTAGAAGTCTGCTAGCCCAGCTACCTACAGCAGACAGGGGAGCGAGTCCTGCTGCTGGGGCAAAAAAAAATACCCAACCCATCATGGTTATGTCCATCAAAAACCACACCGAACCCTGTTAAAATGTGTGGTTTTCTATGAAAAGTAGCGTAACTGTTTGGCCACGATTGCACTGCTGTACGAGTGCATTCCTTAGCACTAACACCCAGGTATGTCACACTGAAAGATGCAATTCAAGAGGAACAAACTCTCACAGCAATGCTACAGCAGACACACACAGAAAAATGGTGCTAAATACAGGGATATCAGTAAAAAGCAAAGCACACCAGCAGAGAAATGCCATGCACACACAGCACATGGACACCCAGGTCCCCACTTCAGGTTCACTGCTGTCAAAATTCAACAGACGAATCCTTACAGCCTGGTCAGCTCTCCGTGCACACACACGGATGATGGATGCCCACCTTTGAAGACCCACCACACCACAGTTGAACTAAACTATTCCAACCCCCAACCCGAACCTCCCAACCCCCTCTGGGTGAGTTTCCTTAACCCACACCATTAAAAACCAGAAAGACAACCCACACTTTAGTAACAATATCCTCACCTTTGGCATTAAATGATTATGTAAAAAAAAAAAACCTTAAAACCAGAGAATTGCTCTACTCCAGAGTCCTGTAGTGCCACCCAGTGCTTGAGCACCTTCCACTACACCAGGTATTAAGGCAGCTTTCCCACCCCCCTGCACCAATGAGCCCTTCCCCAGGTGTCCCACACAGTCCAACCAACCCCACCAACACCCCACACCCACTCCTGTGAAATTTACTTGAAACTGCTTGTGACTGGAATGGTTAATTTTTCCACTTAAATACAGAAGTATCTATGTTTGCTCGGAGCCATCCCAGAGCAGTGAAGCTCAGGCCCAGCAGAGTCAGTACAAACCCAAGTTCGCAGCCCACAGCAAAGCCCACCACCCTCTATCAGGTCCCACCACCTTCATTTGGCCTGGGGATTTAGGAGAACACTTCATCCTTCCTGGAAACAGAGTTGCATTGAACTCTAGAAGAAATAACACCGTATTAGTGCTTAAATTAAGACTTTAATCCCGATCTGTTTCCGTCCACAAGCTCCTCATTACACAAAGAGGCTTAAACCACCATGGAAAAAAGCCCAGGTAACCACGTCACTTAAACACACCAGTTTTAGGGAGACAGACCACAACTTGTAATGTGCAACAGAAACTTTATTAGCATTTCAGACAGTTGTTCAGCAGTTACTTAAGCTGGCATTAACTTTGCATTTAATTTAAGACATTAAAGAACTACAGTGCAAACACAAGTGCTATTGGCAATCTTGTTGTCAAGCAAGATGGGCAGTAACTTAACAGCCACCCCTCAGGCGCAGCACAAGATGGAGGGTGGATTCCTTCTGGATGTTGTAGTCAGACAGGGAGCGCCCATCTTCCAGCTGCTTCTCAGCGAAGATCAGCCTCTGCTGGTCTGGGGGGATGCCCTCCTTGTCCTGGATCTGGGCCTTCACATTCTCAATGGTGTCACTGGGCTCGACCTCGAGGGTGATGGTCTTGCCAGTCAGGGTCTTCACACAGATCTGCATACCACCCCTCAGGCGCAGCACAAGATGGAGGGTGGATTCCTTCTGGATGTTGTAGTCAGACAGGGAGCGCCCATCTTCCAGCTGCTTCTCAGCGAAGATCAGCCTCTGCTGGTCTGGGGGGATGCCCTCCTTGTCCTGGATCTGGGCCTTCACATTCTCAATGGTGTCACTGGGCTCGACCTCGAGGGTGATGGTCTTGCCAGTCAGGGTCTTCACACAGATCTGCATACCACCCCTCAGGCGCAGCACAAGATGGAGGGTGGATTCCTTCTGGATGTTGTAGTCAGACAGGGAGCGCCCATCTTCCAGCTGCTTCTCAGCGAAGATCAGCCTCTGCTGGTCTGGGGGGATGCCCTCCTTGTCCTGGATCTTGGCCTTCACATTCTCAATGGTGTCACTTGGTTCCACCTCGAGGGTGATGGTCTTGCCAGTCAGGGTCTTCACAAAGATCTGCATACCACCCCTCAGGCGCAGCACAAGATGCAGAGTGGACTCCTTCTGGATGTTGTAGTCAGACAGGGTGCGCCCGTCTTCCAGCTGCTTCCCAGCAAAGATCAACCCCTGCTGGTCAGGGGGGATGCCCTCCTTGTCCTGGATCTTGGCCTTCACATTCTCAATAGTATCGCTGGGCTCAACCTCAAGGGTGATGGTCTTGCCAGTCAGGGTCTTCACAAAGATCTGCATACCACCCCTCAGGCGCAGCACAAGATGCAGAGTGGATTCCTTCTGGATGTTGTAGTCAGACAGGGTGCGCCCATCTTCCAGCTGCTTCCCAGCGAAGATCAGCCTCTGCTGGTCAGGGGGGATGCCTTCCTTATCCTGGATCTTGGCCTTCACGTTCTCAATGGTGTCACTGGGCTCGACCTCGAGGGTGATGGTCTTGCCAGTCAGGGTCTTCACAAAGATCTGCATACCGCCTCTGAGACGCAGCACAAGATGGAGGGTGGATTCCTTCTGGATGTTGTAGTCAGACAGGGTGCGCCCGTCTTCCAGCTGCTTGCCAGCGAAGATCAGCCTCTGCTGGTCTGGGGGGATACCCTCCTTGTCCTGGATCTTGGCCTTCACGTTCTCAATAGTATCACTGGGCTCGACCTCGAGGGTGATGGTCTTGCCAGTCAGGGTCTTCACAAAGATCTGCATGTTGAACTACAAAACATACAGAAAATTTACGTTTAGCTACTTAATAAAGCACAGGCTTTAATAATTCCTAAATAAAGGCATTATTGCTGCTGTCTCCCCACTATATAAATACCAATTAGAACGTATTTAGTTAGAATTTTCTACAGCCGTGACTTAACTCTTCACTGTTGACCAACCAAACACCTTTTTGAGGCTCGCTATGCTATTAGGATAAGTTCTTTACATTCCCTCTCGCCAGCGCGCTCCGGAACACCCTCCCCCGCCCCTTCCCCCCCCTCTCCGCACTGCAGCAATGCAGCAAAGGGCCGCAGCACCTCACGGGGGCGAACTGCGACAGCAGCTCAGCGGCCTCCCCCCCCGGCGGCAGTGACTCAGCAGCCCGCTTCCGGGGGAAGCGAATACAGCCTCCGCCATTTTCACCCTAACGCCGCCTCCTTCTCCTAAGAAAATTGCTTTATTGTTCTTTCATACTCCCTCCCTCATATTTTAACGAAGTGATTTAGAGCAAGACGAGACCCTGCACAATTCCTCCCCCCCCCCAACAGAAAAAAAACCACCACCCGACGAGTACCCGCCTCGGTCTTACAGCTTTCCGCCCAAAAATATCACCCTATTTCATCCTTCCCACCCCCCCAAAACGCTCCCACCGCTCAACTCACGTCTCCGGCCCTGAGCGTTGCGCGTCTGCAGTTCCTCTCGGTTGCTCGGCAGTTAGACTCTATGGTATGACGCAGCCACACAGACGTATTTATAGGGTTCCAGGCAGCAAGCCCCGCCCATCTAAACTGACGTGCCCATCCGCCTCCCAAAGTAGTCCCAAGCAAAAAGACCACTGTTACAAAAATTACTCGCCTTTTTCCCTCTCCAGTCCCTCTCTAGGAGAAAAGAGGACCCTGATGTCTTAGTGTGGGTCCTCCAAAACTTAAAAATCTGGAAATTTCCGAGGGCGCGGATGGATCTGAAGGCGCGGTGAAGCAGTTGGTAGAAAGACCGGGAAGTCCGGCGTTGATTGGCGCAGAAGCGAGGACAGTGGCGCTGATTGGTTGATCCGGGGGGGAAGGTGGAGAAGGTCGGGGGGGCGGCTGTCAGGAAAGCTCTGGAAGATTCGGGTGCTGCTTGGCGCTGATTGGTGCGCTGTGAGGTCAGCGCTGTTGCTAGGGTGGAGCCGCCCGGCGGGGGCAGATTTGGGCGCGGAGGGGGCTGCGCGCAGGCGCGTTGCTGCAACGTACATGGGGGGGGCCCTGTAAACGAACAAGGCCCGGCCGAGGGAACGTGAGGGGGGTTTTAGTGTTTGTCTCAGCCCCACACAGCGCTTAGGGAAGAACCTGGCACTGACAGGGGCAAAAGTGCCCTTGGGAAAGAGGGGGTTACCCTCAGTGCCGGCTTTTTGTTGCCCCACAGAGATACCAGCGCCTCAGACCGACCCCCTGCCCTGGGGTGGCTGAAGGGTTTATGGCAGAGCCTGGAACAGGCCGTAGGGCTCACCCCATAGTCTGGGGCTGTGGGGAAAGCAGAGGTGAGTTAGCAAAGGTGGGGGAAAAAAAAAAAAAAAAGATGTTATTTAGAAATTTCTGGAGTGTTGGTGACTCCTGGTGTGTCAGGCTCACTGAGCGTGCCCTCCTCACGCGGCCTGTTCCCCTGAGCAGCCCTTCCAGCCCAGGCCCACAGCTTCATTCTCTAATGTGGGGTTGGAAAACAACAACTCCCTGATGAAATGCTGACATCTGACATTCAAACGGCTGTTTACTTGCCTACAGAACAGGAAGCTTTGATCAGGTTATGGAGCAACTTCCTTCTGCGAACTGATGTGGAAATGTATTTGGTGTTAATTAAGCTTCATTATACCATTCAGACTGGCTCTTAACTCATTCTGTCTCATCTCCGGAGCACACACAATCCAGAAAGGTGTGTATGTGGCAGTGTTTTATCTGCTGCTCACTTCTCCACTCAACCCAAATGAACTTGTTAAATCCTCCACACATGGGAATGGCAGGATTCAGTACACAGCTACTCTATTTCTCTCTAAACCAAAAAAAAAGGGCTCAAAACCACCAAAAAAACCACTACCACCACTACCCTTTTGCTTTCCTTTCCCTTAACAGGGCTTGTGTCTGCTCGCGCCTCCTGGTTTACAGTAAAAAGGAAATAAATCATCCCAACTATAATTATTCACAATGTAGAAACAGGAAGACAGGAAAACTGTAACTGGAAAGTTCAGAGGCAGCTCCATGGTGATAACTAACCTTGGAAATATTATTCAGCTGCATAAATTTAGGACAAAAGGCAGGTTTAGGCAACATCACATTTGTTTTCTTTATGCTGCTGGGTTTGCTCAGTGTTTCCAATAGGTTCATTCTGTTTGCGTGGTGCCAGGGTGAATAAATATTTAGTTTGCTCCAAGGCTGGTGGGTGTGTGCTGTGTATCCCAGGCACTGCTCCAGGAGCTCCCCCAGCCAAACACCACCAGAAACTAATATTTACAGATGGGAAAGGTCACGTCTGCTAAACTGGAGATTAACCACAGGCTAATCTAAAGACTGGCCTGTGTTTGAGCACATCAGACTTGTGTGAAGGATTTTAGTGTGTGTGTCTTTGTTTTTTAATGCCCCTCTAGATGGAGAAGGAGAAATTTCTATCATTTTCTTTCCTTTCTGTGTAAACCAGAAAACACGGGAGCCCTCTCTTTTTTTTGCCTAGTATGGCTAAATCCCATGACTAATCTGCTTTCACTGTTGCTGTTCAGTTTCTGTTTAAGTATTCAAATCAACAGATCAGAATAAAGTCCCAACAAGATGAGTCTACCACGGGTAGTTCTTTAAACAGCTTGTTAATAATGGCCCCTGAAAAATTCATTCTTCAGGGAAATGACATTACCCAAAGCAGGCACAGGCAGTACGTGCTGACATCGCATGCAGACTCTACTTTAAAAACAATTATGGATTAAATTCATCAATTCCGTGCAAAAAGCCTCATTATTTTCCTCAGTTATCCCTCTGTCAAAAGAGACACACAAAAGAGTTCGGCTTTGTGCACACAACTGCAGGGCCCAGCAGAATTAAACTAATCTCCATGGCCTGCAGGCGAGCTCCTCTACACAGGCCACCATTAGCATTTTGCAGCCTCCACTGATTGGATTAATTTAATTCTCCTATTAATCTGCAGTAGCCATCTACGTGCCTGTACGAGCCCACCTCTTTTGTTCAGGGGGGGTGAGGGGTGGGCTGAATACAGAGAGCTGCTTAAATACTGCTTTTCCTGTCCCTCGGCTTTTTCTGTGTGGGGAAGTCGTGCCCTGAATGTTACTTCGTATCTGCCTAGATCCTTTATGCTATTTCAATGATAATTATTATCAAGTTGAAGGGTACTTCTTTTTAATTGCAGGCCAGATTCTGCCTCATTTTCACACATTACATGGACAGAACAATCTCCCCAGCTGGAGGTGATGGCCTTGTGACTTCATTTTACTGAATTTCCCCTTTCTCTCAGAATTTCTTTCTAAAATCTTTTACTACCTGAATTTGATGCAGACAAAGGAGATCTGTTTATACTTAAACGGTGTGGTAGCTGTTGTGGTTGTACAAAGTATATGTATTTAACATATACTCCACTCTTTCACCAGTAGCTGTTGGTGAATAACTGTATATAAATAAATACAAAGCTGAAAAAACCCAGAAATCTCTATCTTGTGACTGGCTCAATCACAGGTGGCTCCCGTCTTTGCCAGGGCACGGGGCCTGCAGTCGGGAACACGTATTTCTTTCCAAGTGGTTTCAGAAGTAGGTCACTGGGCAGTGGTACAAAGCAACCTACTTTCAGAAGAGAAGAATCTGGGGTCAAAGAAATGTTTCCAACGAATCTGTACCTTCTAGAACACAAGCCGGGTCTGTTTTTTATGTACACTAAGGTCCCAGCAACAGCGTATCATTTCTCCGTGAGCAATGTCAAGTGAAGCAATCTGTTTATCTTTAGTTACACGGGTTTAAGCTGGGACAGGGAGCAGTCAGGCGGTGTGTGTATGTGCAGAGGGTTCAGTACTGCTCCTTTGTTCAGATAAAAATAGGGCTACTTGCCACAGGGAAAAAAAAAAACCAAATGTATATTCCTATCTCAAAACATTACTCATACCTACCTCAGGTCTCTCCCACTATGTATGACACAAGATAATTATATATTCACCTGTTTACAGTTGTGGAGATAAAATATTTTCTCCCCAAACCTGTAATGCTGCAGTAAGGGCCAGTCTTTGCTGAAGTTCCACCCACAAGACAAGTGGAGCTGTGGTGTGTTACTGCTTGTCCTCGTACTTACCAAGCACAAGGGTTACAAAAATAGTGAGTCACCATTCAAAGTACCATGAGATTGACTGTAATATTATGAGATTACCATAAAAGACAACTATCCGTGTCTTGTTTCTTAAACCTTATGCTAAAAATACCTTAAATAAACAAAAGTTTTTAATAAGCTACCAACTTCAGGAGTTGAAAGCTTAAGAAAAACAAATAGATATCCCGATTTGCAGTAAAAAGAGCAATACTCCTCTGTCTCCCTGTTTGTTTAAAGAATGTTTTGAGTTTACAGGACACATGGGATACAGCTTTAAGATCTGTGCTGCCACAATAAACAGGCTTAGGCACGTCTTTCCCTGTAGGTCTAAATGACCCAGAGGAACGTGTGGCAATTCACGATGCTCCTGATGTAAGGAGACTTCTAAAGGGCGTTTTTATAAAGACGCCATCAGCCTAAAATCACAGGTTTGTGTCTCTGTGTGTTACGCCAGTGAAAGCAGCAATTAATAACTAGGTCTATTCTAAAAATTACTTGTCTGCATCTTTTCAGTCTACCTCCTGCCTGGGAGTCTCTTGGATCTGATCCAAGCTGCACTGCAGTGAAGGAGCTCTCTTTGTTCCTGTTCTCTCTGCTGCGCCTGAGCTGATTTAGCATGTGGTTTCTGGGGTGAGGTTTTTCAGCAGGGCAGGAAAGCAGCACCTTGAAAAACAGAAAAACATAAGAAATAAGTCCTACAATGCTGTTAATCATTGTTAGTATGTTTCAGTAGAACCTTTCTAACAGTGAACGAAAACAAATACTGCCAAGGCCATTCTGACCAGACTTTGTCCGTTGGCTCAGATGTGGTATCTCCTGTATTTTGTCTCCAGATCCATCTTGGATCCCCTGATGGTGATGAGAATATCCAGAATGCTCCCCCCTTCACAACAGCAAGAACTAAAATCCAAGCACTGACATTTTTCTCTCCTGCACAAACTAGTTTTAATTACCTCGGTTCTTTTTAGCATGGTGTTAGCTTTACACTACTTCTAGTTCCCTGCTTATTAGATGAAAAGCATCCACTGTTCCTAATTATCTTTAACCCACAACCCAGTAGCTGCTTTCAGAGCTGCTTTTGCAATGAAAATGCCTTTACAGACAGAATCCCAGCGTGGGCTGCAAGCCAGGTCTGCAGAGCTGAGTCACTGTTATACAAGCAGAGCTGAGATGGCACAGAAAAACACCTTTGTACTTTAACATTAAACCACGTCAGCTGTTGAACTTGGAGTATCACAAGACACCTAAAGAGAACAAACAGTGATTTACTGGACTTCTCCTCTTGTCCAACCCATCATCTTTCTGAATAATTCTTCCTTCTGCATTTTGTCTGAAGAGCTTTAGCAACAGCGTTCCTCATCAAGCTACTGGCTTCTACTAAAGCTTGGGAAACATTGCATCAGATTTGGAAGTCATGTACCAGTGAAAGCTGTTAACTCTTTGGGCACTGGGACACGTGGGGCTGCCCAGGTACAGATACTACACCATCCAACCACTGACATACAGGGCTTGCAAATCAGAATACCAGTGAAGTTTATAATCAGCGAGAGATCCATTATAAAGCTCTTCAATTGATTATTTATGTGACAGCCAGTTTTGAGCTTTAAGAGTCCTTCGTAATAAAATACGAAACAAATGAAAACGGAGGAAGAATTTCTTTCCTACAGCCTTCTGAAACAAAACGGCATTTTGGTCTTCCATTTTGTCTTCCAGTTCCTTATCCTGAAGTGTCATAGGGGAACAGAATTTAGCATCTTAAAATGCTTTCTACATTTAAAATATGCTGAACTAATTGTGGAGGGGCGCAGAGAGTGATAGATTTGCAGATATATACGGACTGCATACTCACTTGTTTTCTCACTGGAACTACTTTTTGGGAGGAGGTCATTTGGGTGAACTGATTGCTAACAAGCTCCTAAAATATGTTCTGGCTTTCAGTTTAGTGCAGTTAACTGTTCTTAGAAAAGGACAGACCATGTGGGCTGAAACCTGCCACTGCTGCTGGCCGTACCCCACGCTGAAGGCGAATGAATCCATTCTGCAAACTGCCCAGGCTGGGTTTCAGTTTGTCGTCTCCAGTTTCACCTCAGTGACTTTTCCTCCCAAAATATAAGGTGACTAACACAAAATCTAGCGTGACTAAAGGCCTGGGAGTGGCTCAGATCAGGAGCTACAGATGAACATGCTGACCTGGGCCAGAATTTGTCACATACAGTGTATTAAAATGGTTCCATTGGGATGAGTAACCAGCGCAGAGGTTCACATGAGGAGTAACAGGAAATTGTAACTCTGCCCTTTTCCTATCATCAGAGGAGAGAGGTGCTGAGCCACGGGCTTGTTATGTGAGTCCTGGTATGTGCCATTGCAGGAAGCAGCCTCCACACTGTAGTCGCATGGTTTTTTAAAGCTGTTTTCCAGACCAGAGGGTGCTGATTGCTGTTTCATCACTGCCCAGTTGCTCTGCGATATTCCTGGCTGAGCCATGACCCTGGGGTGCCTCTTCCACCCCACAACAGACTCTCAGCTCACTTGTTTACATCTTTCCCTGTTCCCTTTCTCGAGAAGAGCAAGACATTCAGTCCCGTTGAAAATAGAAAATCTTGATTATAACTCACACAACATAAATTTCCAGTCCCGCAACACTGGGCACGAAGATTCATCCTTGGAGTGATTTATTTTTTTCCCCAACCAAATGTGATGTGGACACCTACAAGTTTTGTACTTCTCCCTTGTAGTGAATAGTTTTACTTGGGAAACAGCATTGTCTTTCAGGTGTTCAAGAAGGAACTTTTCTAAGATATTTGCCACTGGATGGGTGCCTTCACATTTTCCTAAGCTTTTTTTTTTTTTAAAAAAAGCCAAAACAATCAAGATAGTACATCCCTTTTTAAAAAAAGAAAAAAAGGTGTGTACTATCTTGATTGTTTTCCTTCTTAAGACTTTGGTGACAGCATTTGTGAAAAGTTGTTTAGTGGGAATTGTGTTAGCCCCCATTTCTCTGCAAGGCTGCCATAATGATTTCAAACCTCAGGAAGGACTAAATACACGTCCGCAGGCGCATCCTGGCAGACTCACTATTGTTAAACAGCAGTCTTGTTTCTAATTGAGGCAGGTGCATAGCAGAGATGTGAAACAATACACTAATAGCACCTCAGGTCTGCAAAGTGCCTTGACATCCTTGAATAGGAGGCTTATAATTAAAGGAGGAACCTCATGCTTGTGGATAACCGGCGTTTTTACCATTCCGAGGTGTTTTACAAGGAAGGGGCGAGCCCGCCCTCCTTTGGTGCAAACCGGCTCACAGCGCAGGGCCTGCATTTCCCTCGATTTCCAGTGTTTCTCGCTCTCGGTGCCCTGTTCCCCCCGGCCGCCCCCCGTTACAGCCGCAGACGGGGCCCGGGCCCGGTCCCTCCCGGGGGGGATCCCCCCCCCTGCTCCCGCGCCGCCGCGGCGCTGCGGCTCCCCCTGGCGGTGGCGGCGCGGAACAGCCAGGCTGGGCGGTGCGTGGGGGCCAGCCATGGCGGGCAGCGCCCGGCGGTCCCGGCGGGGCAACGCGGCCGCCGGTTCCCCCGCGGCTCGGAGCCGCCGGGGGAGAGCGAAAGCGGCGGGCGGACCCCCGGCACAACCCCCCGGACACGGAGCCTTCGATTTAGGAGGGCAGAGAGAGCGCTGGGCCGCCTTCCAGAAGCGGCACCGGCTGAGCTGCGAGGAGGCGGCGCGGCTGCTGCTGGACGCCTAGTGAGTACGGGGCTGCCCGGCGGCTCCTTCCCCCGGTACATCGTCGTCTTCTCGGCAGCACCCGCACAGCAGCAGCCACCGCGGGCTTCTGGAGAGCCGCAGACAAGGGGGGAGGGAGGGCCCGCACACATCAGGGACAAAAAGTGGCTTTTTATGCTAAAGCTTCCTGCGCTTTAGGGCGCTCCCGTCAAAACCGGCCCCGGGGGCACCGTGCGGGACGCCAGGCTCAGCTTCGAAATCTCCACCCATTTCCCGTGCTCTTTCTTTCCGGAGCAAGGCACATCAGCCGTCACTGGGCTGTAATCAGGAACTGTCCGTGGGAGTGAAAATCTGAAAGGAAAAAGGTTTTTCCTTTGCATTTTGCGTTTGATCTATAGCAGGGGGATTCGGGCCAGTTGCCCTGGAACCGTCTTAGGGGAGAGGGAGAAGCACAAGCTCAGAAATTCCTTGATCGTGAAGTTCCTCTGCAACTACAACACAAAATAAAATGCATTTCAAATATTACGTAGAATCCACTAATCTTTGCTTTTCCCAGCTTTTAAATGGTCAGTGCTTTGACCCAGCCTGTGGCAGGGGGCACGGGTTTTGTATTGCACGCGGAGCAGACTTCACTTCAACTGTTGCTCTTCTTTCCTTTTCACCAATTAAAGCAGAAATGCAATTGCTGCAGAGGACAAAAGCCATTCTCTACCTCACTTTGGCGTATTTTATTAAAAAAATACATTTGAGTGGATACATTTTCTCAAGTTCTGCGATTGCTCAAAGCAGAATTGAATAATGTTGTATGTAGTCTTACAGTTTGCTTGGGGGAAAAGGAAAAAAAAAAGAAGTGTGATGACAAATCCTCTCTGTTGTTTTTCTCTGCAGTGAATGCAGAAGTTTGGTCAAACACACGGGAGGCTGTCACTGCGGAGCCGTCCGCTTTGAGGTCTGGGCCTCGGCAGATCTCCACGTTTTTAACTGCAAGTGAGTTGGGTTTTTTTTGTTCCCTATTCTTATTGATGAATAAAAGCTCATGCGCTTTTCCAATCAACACCTTAGAGCTAAAAGAAGATGACACAACTGCAGAACATCCACCGTGTTGTTTCCATAGGGTATACCCCTAATTATGTCCACATCTGATATGGGATCAGTGCTGGTGATTTCAGGTGCTGCTTCGGTCTCAAATCCATGCTCGTGCAGAAAATGTCAGCAGAGATCTAATGAGAACGGGTGCTCTGGCCTCTGCTTTATGTTTCCTCTAAGTGTGGCGTCCTTAAAGCACATCAATCCTTTTTTAACTTGGTCTTCTCAAGTGAATGTTACACATCTGACCACGTGCTTCAATCTACAACAGTGTCCAATTGCACCAGTGATCCCCCTTCGCCTGCTTCTAGCTCCTGGGGAAACTTCTGAATCTTACTTTCTTCTTTGCAAGGTCATTAACGTTGGTGAAATTGGCAAAGCCTGGTCTGAAAGATTAAATGGGTTTCTTAGGGCCAGAGTTTGTCCTTGTTTGTTTGTTGAGAGTTGTGGATGTGATGAAAAAATGGCATGTGATATTTGGTGTAGGAGAACACCTTCTTGTGTACCTGTGCAGACTGTTCCATGGGTGTGTTCAGCCACACACCACTCACACCAGGAGTCCACTTTTGCTGCTTACCTTTGTGATGCAAACCAGGAGCCATTTCAGCTGCCCAACGGGATCTCTGTTGTCAAGAGGTCCATGCTAGATCTGATTGCTGTACTACAACTTGTCCGCTGCTTCTAGAAAGGTCTCCTTTTTCTTCTCCAGCTGCAGCATTTGCACAAAGAAACAGAACAGACACTTCATTGTCCCAGCGTCACGTTTCAAGCTGCTGAAGGTAGAGTAAGAACACAGTAAGAGCATGGCTGTGAACACCAGCAGTAGAATCCAGTGTTATCCTCAAAGATGCAACTGGCAGCCCGTTTTCTGGCCTAAGTTTGTCTGTGGCTGGTGGGGGGAAATAGCTGGATTTTATGCCATTTGGTGTGGTATTTATTGAGCTGACATTAGAGCTCTTGCAATTGTCAGACTTGAATGGGATGGACGTCTGTATATACGAAGCACAGGGGGTCAGAAAAGAAGCAGTAATACAGAACTCTGTATCTCAAGTAAAGGCATGAAGGTGGCACTTTAAATTTTACATTTCTTAGCTGCAGGCCCATAGAAAGTAATTAATACATTTATTTACGTGGAAGACTTATATTGCTTTTCATTTGCTTAGGGTGCTGATAACTTGACAACGTATACCTTCAACACACATCGTGCCCAGCACACATTCTGCAAGACCTGTGGTGTGCAGAGCTTTTATACTCCTCGTTCTAATCCAGATGGTTATGGTAGGTAGAAAGAGTAAAATTGTGGTAACCAAAGCTAACCACCACGCAAGCCTTGGATAAAGATTCCATTGGCTACTAACAGGACAGCAGTGAGCAGCATGTGCCTTAAGAGTGTGTTCCTAAAGTGCTAAACATCTGGAACTGCAGTCTGAACCTGTGGCACCTCCATAAGAAACAGTCTCACCTATGACTTGTGAGCTTCTGCCCATGAGAGGTTTCTCATTGAGGCTCCTCAGCCTTAACTGAGCATTTACCATTCCCTGAGATGCCCCATCCCACAAAGAGGTGGAGGCATCTCCCACACTTCAGCTATGAAAAGCAGGATTCTGTGTACTCTGTCTTTCTTCAGGAATAGCTCCCCACTGTCTGGATGATGGCACTGTGCAGACCATTGTCACCGAGGATATCAATGGCAAGGAATGGGAGAAGGCAGTGAAGGAACATAAGACCATCAGAGACATGTCAAAACCCTGACATACCCTTCCAGCAGCTGAACTTGGAGCACTGCCATGGAACTGTAGTCTGGGCTTTCCTGGGTGAGGGTTGGCAAAATCAATCTCTATATTGTTGTTATCTGTTCTCTGTTTCTTAAATCTTTCTATGCTGCCTGTGCCATTCATTTGTGATTTTCAATTTTCAAGCTACCTCTGTCCTATAAACCACCCCAGACTGCTGTTTTGATACTTTGCCCTTAGCTGTGTTAAAGTTTAAATCACAATAAACAGAGCAAAGTACAAAAAAAAAAAAAAAATCGAATCTTTGTATGGATATTTCCTGTGTTTCAAGTCTGGCTTGTAAAATACCCTATGTAAGATAATCTCTTGCTTAGGACATAACACTAACTTACACTGTTTTTTCTCCACTGACTTCAATGAATTGAGCATGGATTTAGAGTTCAAGGGGATTTGGAAGAGCTCAGCAGGCTCAGGTTCAGTAAAGCACGGGCTCAGGTTCAGTAAAGCATTTACAGCAGCACTCAGCTGTGTGTGGGAGAGGGGCCACTGAAGTGATTCATGTGATTAAGTTCTGTTTTGCTTAAGCCTGGACTTACTCATGGTCTTAGGGCTGAGTAAGCATATGGTTGGGTGCTGATGTCTGGCCAGGGCACAGAGTTCAGTGCTGTCACACTCTTACAACAACAGGCACGTACTTCAGTACAACCAGGAACTCGTTTGCTGTCTCCAGGAGGAGGATGTGTTCACAGCAGCAGATCAGGATCTGGTAATTTGGGCTCTGATCTCGACTGTGTGATGACAGCTGTGCAGATGTGAGCCTGCAGATGTGAGCCCACATTAATGAGTGCAAAGGCCTACAGAAATGTTGAGTATTGCTGACTTCACCATGATCCCACAGAAACCTAAATCACTAATAAAATCTCTGCATAGACTAAGAAATGAAGCCTGAAAGCGGCTTCGCTTACCTTTTAACATAAAGGGAGAGGATCTTTATCTCTTGCACTTGTCATTTACATAAGTGGAACAGCTTTTGAGACATCTCTTGCAATTTTTATCTCCACGTGTATTCTATAAAAGACAAGTTACAGTCTGGGTGTCTTGTGCCTCATTCTTGCATCCTGTTGAGACTCGTGTGAGTTGGTCTCGATCTCCATGTTCTGAAGCAAGAAGAAATGCTCATGTTTCATGAGGGTCATGCCTGTTAGACATTGTATCTGAAAGAAGCAGCAGTAGCAGCAAAGATCTGTGCAATTAGAGTAATTTGTATTGTTTCATATATTTTATTCATAAGCTGTGGCTTTTTTAAAGTTCTGACTGAATAAGACGGGTCTTGTGGTTCTGGTTTTATCTGTGGCGATAGCATGACCTTTGAAAAGTCACTTCTGATATTTGGATTTGACAGAAGCCCCAAGAGATAATTGCCAAGCAGTCCCCGCAGATATATCCTCTTGGGGAAAAATAGTTTGTGCCGTATCTTCTCCAATACAGGATACTCCTGCATTTTACTCCTAATTAGGTTAAGCCAAATTTCTTATCCGATGTAAGCATCTACAGTGAGAAGCTGGAGTAGTCGTTGGACCTTGTTCATCTCAATGTATCGGGCAACAAAATACTCAGAAGCAAGTTCATACAGCCTGTTTTTTGTAGTCTGAAAGAATGCCACACAAAGAGAATCCTCTCCTCTTGAGCACATAACAGGTGAGTTTTCTTTAGTCTGTGGCCTGATGTGGTCTTTTACTCATTCTTTGACTCCTGAAGTTGAGAGCAGTGTCTCTTTCACAGAAGGCGGAGAGAATTGATCATCATATAACGTGAGAAAAGCATATAGAGGTGGCGAAACCAGAGGAGCTGGCTGCGATGGCACCGCATGGCTCTCTACAAGGAAAAACAATTGAGAAAGCATTACCAGAATGTTCCAGACCTAATGAGAGACCAGTTTCTTAGGCCTCCTTTGAAGTTCACTGCCAATTTATAGGACAGCCTGTTTTCAGTGAGCAGGGAAGAAGCAGTGGGAGGTAAAAGACTGCCTTCCCTGTGGGGCCAGAAGGCAGGGAGAGGCCTGTCTGTGTCACTGGTGTTCAGAGAGGTCCTCCTAGAAAGGACATTATCAGCTGCAGGTTGGTGCTGTGACAGTGTCTTTGTCACATATAACTCCTCCTCCCTATGTGATCTCACACCTGGGTGTTCACATGCTGGGGAAGCAGAAACCCGATAGGTGAACGTCTGAGAACACTGTGCACGCTGCTTCCGATCCCAGACTGCCAGCTAAAACTTCCCCTATTTATAGTGCACCAGCTTAGAAAGGTCAGATTTCAGAAACAAGAACTACAAGGGAATAGCACCATCTTTGTCAGAGCAGTTTCCATACGTAACTCTGTCTTTTAGCAGCCTCAAAAGCAGGTGTGGGAAAGTGATTGGCGAGGAGGACTGTAAATACACTCAAGTGACTGGCACGTGCGGTGCTGGAAAACACATCTATCACACTAATTGTTGCTTAGTTGTGTGTGCTCAACAAGTAGAACATCTGCACTTAGATAACATGGGCCTGGGATGGGCTCAGGGGCACCTTATCAAACAGCCTGAGATTCTTGCCCTGCTGTTGAAGAGATCAAAGCCCAGCAGAAAGCTCTGCCTGCCAGAATCCTGGAAATCCAGCCCCAAACAGCAAGTGGGAGCTCCCTCGCTCCCTCACTCCATTGCTAACAAGGACTCTCTTGCTAATAAGGACTCTGGCTCCATGGTGCCTGCATCCCCTGCTTGCCTGCCTCTGCCTGGGTGCTGCTTCAGAGGTTCCCTGATCCCTGAGGTATTGACATTAAATTGTTCTTTGCCCTTAATCCGTGGTTTTGCGGTTGTTCCTGCGTCCTGCCTGCATCAGCTCACACAGCAGGACAATTCTGTAATTTGTGGACCGAGAGGGCTGTTTGCCAGGCAAATCCTGTCATGCTGTGGAAGGGGAACTAATCAGATTCTGATACAAGGAACTGTGCACTAAATATGTGAGATCTCACGCAGCAAAATAGTTCAAAAAATACACAGTAGAGAAGGGAATTCATAAAGAACTTTGGACCATAAGTTCACAAGGTGTCTCAGTCTTTAGTTAGAGGCAAGGACATTGTTCCTGGCATGCAGTCATGCCGTTCTTGGACAGGCTACTCATACTATGTTGGATCCAGTCTCCTTCAAAATACCTCCTAGACACGGTGTAAAACTCAGTGCGCTGTGACTACTGAAGATCTCTGAGCTGGAAATCTGCTCAGCCCTGTCCTGCAATCCACACAGCACATGAAGCAACCTGTCTTGTCCATTCGTGTTTTACAAATCACTCGTGAATGACATTTTTAATCCACGTATATAATTATTTGTGACGTTCCCTGTGAATATGACATGACTAAAGTCTTCCCAATGACCATGAGCTATTCAAACAGGTTATGCAGGTACCACACATCTCACCTTGGCTTGTTCAGTCTCCTCCTCGGTGAGGACAAAGAGCGCATCTCCGGGCAGGAGGCAGGAAAGGAGTATGTCCAGGATGGAGATGTACTTCCGGAAGAGATTGACCGATTCAAGCACGAGCACACGGCACCCTAGACAGGGAAAGAGGATAAATACTTGAAAACAACAATATTCTTGTAAGGTTCCCACCTCACCAGGCTCAGCAGGTCTTTGCAGGCTCCCCTGTGTTGGTGGCCATGGGGACTCTTTTTGTGCAAAAGGGGAGCAACTTGTACTCATGCTTCCACCAGGATCTTTTCATGCCCAGTGCATGTCAGTGGCCATTTGTACTAGTTCTACTTCTGTATGTGGTCTGTGGAAAGCAAAGTTAGCTCTGAATACCAGAGGGTTTAGGGGTATTTTTTGTTATAATTTAAATTATTCCTATGTGGTTAGACTCAAAGGAAAAAGCACAGGATGGCTCTCTGAATGCTAGCACTGTATCATATAATGGAAATGTAAAACAGGAGCACAAAAATGTTCAGCTACAAAAAGGAAATTTCCTCTTTAACTCCAATTCTTAGCTATAGAAAAAATATTTACAAGATTCAGGAATGGCTGTATCAAATATTAACTCAGGCAGGCAGTTACACTTTAACAGAGTTCCAGAATTCATTGCTCAGATGTTTGTGATGAAACAGATGAAGGTAAGGTATAAAGATACTACCGGTGTGGAATTTTTTTCTGTTTTAAAGAGCCCCTTGAACTCAGAACTTAATTGCTATTTTTTTTTCCCATGGCTAAATTGTCCTCACTGATGAGCTCAGAGCTACTGATGGTCCAATTAAGAGCCTGTAGCTCTCAAGGAGCTGCCCTGGGATTTCTCAGGGCTTGGAAGCTGCTGTGATTATGCTCCACACTTCAGATATTGTATTAGAGTTTGACAGAAGAGGCCAAAGCCACAGTTTACACAGGTGGTCAGACACGCAATTAGATTTGCAATGAGATTTTCTTCAGTGTGCCCTTATAACAGTGAAATTATACAAAGGAGAGAAAGAACAATGCTGAATCGCTACAAAGGCTGCCTAATGGACCATTTTAGTGTGTGAAGCCTGTGCTCAGGTCTAATACTGCTTAAGCTATTATGTCCTGAGCACAAAGTTGTGCTCAAACACCTCTCAGCTCTAAAATGTAGGAAGGACTAGAGTCCTCCTAAGGGAAAAGACTCCCCAGGACAGGGGCAGACAAACATCTTTTCTGAAAACAGTAACATGAGGTGGGTTTCTGTGAGAGGTGATGGTGCCTCTGCTAGGAGCCCTGTGTGCAGATCTGCAAAGGAATCTCATCCCCCAAGGATCTCAACAGTCAACCTGCTGCTTTGGACATTTGGTAGATCCTTCAGTCGAGCCTCTGTCTAGTATGAGATAGGAAAACAAAAGTTTCAGCTCTTATGCTAAATTAATTTCCTAGCAACAAAAAGGAAAAAGCCCCCAAAAGTCTCCAAGGCAGAGCATGGTACTCAAAGATACCCCACCAGCACCATTCCTTCCCCAGCCAGGGGTCTGTGGGACACTGAACCCAACACAAACAGCACGCACGGGATGATCCTCCACAAATCCACTCACAAGTGATTTGTGTTCCCTGCCTTTTCCCAGAGACACTAACTCATTTCACAGCAAGAAAGGTGTTGCTTTTATTCCAGCTGAAGCCTGCAATGGCAGGACATGGCAGCCCTGATGGAATCCCTCCAGCACATCTTTCAATTCCTTTCTTTCTCTCCTTCAAGAGAAGGCAGTACAATTCATTCCAACTTTTCAATAGCCTTTTCTGCTCTCAGTAGCAAAACTGATAACTTTTTATTTCAGTATCACAGAGGGCTCCAGGACCTTCCAGTTCTTGTGCTGCACTGATCCTGGGACATGACTCCCCAGCAGGGTGGACACAGCATTCAGAGCAGCTATTTTCTCCTGCTGTGGGCAGCGATGGGCAGGGTTAGAGGCCTCAAGGGAAATCACCGGTACTTCCACCCAGACGAACGCTGAGATCAGTCTGTGCTGGGCCAGGAACCGGAGGAAAAGCCCTCCTGAAGTTCATGGACACTTGCTGCCGGCCCGGCCTGCCAGGAGATGGCGCTGTCCGCCAGCTGCCGAGGGAGCTGGGACCCACAGCTGGGTCCCTGCCGGCAGCGCCTTGCCCGGGCTGCCCAGGTTGGGATCATAGGATCATAGGATCATAGAATCGTCTAGGTTGGAAGAGACCCTTGGGATCATCGAGTCCAACCATCTACCCTACTCTACAAAGTCATCCCCTACACCATGTCCCTTAGCACCACATCTAACACAGCCAGGGATGGTGACTCCACCCCCTCCCTGGGCAGCCTGTTCCAATGCCCTATCACTCTTTCGGTGAAAAATTCTTTCCTAATGTTCAGTCTAAACCCACCCTGTTGGAGCTTGAAGCCGTTCCCTCTCGTTCTGTCGCTAATTACCTGTGAGAAGAGACCAGCACCAACCTCTCTACAGTGTCCTTTCAAGTAGTTGTAGAGAGTGATGAGGTCTCCCCTCAGCCTCCTCTTCCTCATACTAAACAGTCCCAGCTCCCTCAGCCGCTCCTCATACGATTTGTTTTCCAAACAAAGGATCACTCTTGGCACCCCCCTGTCTTCTCTTAACTCTGTCCGTGCTGTACCGTGTCCCTGCTCCCGTCCTGCTGCAGCCTCAGCCATCCAACCCTCGCAAGGTCACGGTGCCCGTCCCCGCGGAGCAGCAGCTGTGCGATGCCATCTGGAAGGAGCCATGGCTCTGCCAAGCTCCCCGCAGCTCCCTCGGACGTGCTGGAATGCAGGCAGCTGTGTGACCAGCATGGCCCCTGCCACTTCCTGACGGCCCCCCTCTCGCTCGGGTCCACCTTGACAAGCGACAGCCGGAGCAGTTGGTGTTTAGCTGCCAGAAGGTTTCAGCCTGCTCCTGCAAAGGATGCTCTGCTGTGACAAGTGGAGCAGTTGCACACAGAACTGCCCTGACGGTCCTTTTACTCCCACTAAGGACACTTCGTGTTTCCAACTTGCAAACTTGGAAGCAAGCATGATGTACCATGAGTAGGGGAACCCTCTTCCCCCCGTTTCTCTGCCGAGATCTTCTGGGCTGCTGGTGGGTAGTTTCAGAGGAAAGAGTTAGTACAGAGCTGTACTGGAAAGGAATAGCTATGGATCCCCTTGCTCTTGTAGCCAGCATTCCCACTGGCCACCTGTTTGCTTTTCAGTGCTTACTGGGGAGGACAGGGCTGGAGCCAACATGGGACAATGGGTCTTCCCTTTCCTGGATGGTTGTTAATGAACCCTGGCAATGCCACGTGAATTCCTACTTCCAATGATGGGAAGAGCCCGGTGGAGGGATACCCACCACCAATCTCTGAAGCCTGGGCCGCTCTGGTAACAAAATGTGCTTTCCTTTTCCTCTTTTTTTTTTTCCCCCCTAAGAAATATTCATTCATGCAGCAGTTATACATTTTGTTCCCCAAAGCTCAGCAATAAGGGCTGAAAACAACTGCAAGGGATTTGAGTATTGATCAGTCTGACCTCCTGGGCCCCCATGGCTCAGGTCAGGCAAAGCCATGGAATTCCAGCCCCACCAAACGACGGGCACTCTAAGAGTCTTCTGTGTTAGTGATACGACAAGGATCCCCACATGCTGACAGCAAAGGCTGCTCCGCTTGGGAACGTGAGATGAACTGAAGCGGGGAAGGAATGTACAGTCCAGGGAGAGATGGAAAAGGGTTCAGAGAAACAGGCTGCTCCCTGCCAAGCAGGGTAAGAGAAGTGCTGCCATTGAGGAGTCTACTCCTGTGACACCAGCAGGTGAAGCTTTTCCGAGCCTGTTGTGACTGTGACCTGGGCAGGACGGGATTAACAGTGTAATACAACCGCTCTGGGCTGGCAGAAAGGGCAAGATCAATATAGCTACTGGATTAGGCCTAGAATAGAAACGCATGAAGACTTGCAGCCTGTTCAGCTTGGCTTTCTACTTCCAAATCACTTCTGCAGCAAGCATGGCTAACATGAGGAGATTATGAGCAGATCTATGTGTACGAAAGGCTTGGGCTGCTCCTGACAGAGGACAGCACACCAGTTCTTTTGGAAGAGCCCTGATTAGAGCTGGATGGGGCCAGCAGCAGGGGCGGATCCATATCCAGCAGCTGTCTTGAAACAAGCCTATGTGCTTCTGCCTGGGCTGCTGGAGAACTTGATTACAGATTATAAAAAGCCTGTTGTGTTTATGCTGGCTAAAGGCATTAGAAAGCCAAGCAGGATATTTAGGGTGCTCATTTGCATATCACTGAGGCAATGCAAGGCTTAGCTGGCTTTTGCATTTGCAAAGAGATTTTCTGTGGATTCCCTGATCACATGGGCTTACACAGGTTCACCCACAAATAGTTCTCTCTTACCAAGGGGAGAGCAGCACATTTCCATGGCTGAACATGCCTTTCAGCTCTATCCAGACAGCCTCAACCCCAGCATCACTCTTGTTTCATTAAGCCCCTCTGATGCACAGCCCTGCACGCCTGCCAGATCGAATTATAAATACTGGGAATTTCAATGAGACTGGAACTATATTTGGAAAGGCTTAGCGTAAGCAGCAGCATGGGAGCTCCCCGTTCCTTTGGTGTTTGTAGGTCATGTCAGATGTGATGTAATCAGAGCAGCGAGGCTTTCATATAGCTTCAGGAATCTCTTGATGCTGCTAGAGAAATGGAAATGTTGTCTATACATGGGTCTGTTTCAAACCTGAACCCATGTGAGGCACAGCCCATATTCAGGACCATAGTGTATCTAACAAACCTGCCCCAACAGCACACGAAGGTGGCTCAATCTAGATAAGGCCTGACATCTAGCAGTGACATCTACCACTGCAGTTCTTGTTCCTTCTCTGTACTGCACACAGCACACACAGAGCTCTTTGCTGCTGAACAAAGAAAAGGTTCTAGGAAAGAAGCTGGCACTAATACTCCTCTTTCATAGATGGGGGAATCAAAGAGACTAGACTCAAGAGCTCAGCTAAAGGGCATTCTGCCATCTTGGCTCAGGCTCTCTCCATCAGCTCTTGGCCTGCAACTTGCTGCTAGCAGGGAATTAAAACTGATTTGCTGTGACACATTCAAATCCTACAATGAGTCGGGAATTAGCATTAAAGAAACAGAGTCTGAATGACTGCTGGGGGAGCAGGAGGTTGACTGGGTGGGCCCGGTTGAGCCACCTTCCTGTGCTCCATCCAAACAGCTGACAGCTTCGTGCTCAAACTAGTTCCACAAATTTGTCCCTGTGTCAGGCACTAGAGATAAGGGCTGCAGAACTACTCTGGGACAGTAACTAGAAAATAGGGTCAGGAGCAACCTGCTTCTCTACTTTGCTTCTTTCTTTTCCCTACTTGTACAGAGTGTTTCTCAGAGATACTTGTTCATTTAGAGGTGAAAGAAGCCACTCCCAACAATTTGTCGTGCCAGTGCAGATTTCAGACACCTTTTCCATACTGACCACATTTTGATGGAAGCTTAGCTTGGTACACGTAACTATTTTTGGCTGAGCTGGTAATGGTTTCTGAGGCCCTTGTCACAAAAAAGGAGGAAAAAAAAGAAAAAAAAGAAAAAGGCTTCTAAGTAAGACATGACTAAAACCTCAGGGAATGATCTGAGAGACCTGGAAATAGCACTCTTATTCACACAAGACAGCAAGAGGCACAGACACTAAATCACACCACCAAGACAGGACAACCCCAAAGGACAGAACAGTGACTGTAGAGAAGCTTGAGCTGGTAAAAAGCTGCAGGGAGACAAAAGGGCAAGGAAGAGTTCAGCTGCGGGTTTCATTTGCATAGCAAACAGTGGTGAGTTTGGCAGATGAAACCCTGGACAGAAGATTCATGTAAATGATTGCCTAATGCCTGCAGGGTCATGGATGTAACGTGACATACCTTCCGGTAACTTCCGCTCTGAGTGCAGGTACCTGTGAATGAAGAGATACACAGGGGTAAATACTCAATGAAGTTATGCAAATCCTGATTTTATAGATATAAATTCTGTACACTAAATCAACATTTTTCTTTTAACACACACACACACACACACATTGACAATGGCTAATCTTATAAGTTCAGGAGTCGACGTTGGATGCACATGTCAGGCAGTGGGAACCCTCCCTCACCACACAATTCTGCCATTACTTTCCTCGTCCTGGCTGCTGGGACACAGCACAAATAAGCTCCATAAATCCAACTCCCTCTCCAACTTCTCATGTTGCACTAGGGGAAACTGCAAGAAGCTGCCAAAGGCTCTTTAAAGCCTCGTGTCTGCTGACCAGGGACATTTGCCTCGGCAGCAGCTCCTGTTTGGGGACCAGCTTCTTTCTTTCTAACCCATGCTGGCACTGGGACATCTGAGAGGTTGCTCTGACATTTTGCTCGCTAAGACTTTGATCCCTTCATGACTTCATCCTGGAAAGTCTCTGGAGCAAAAACGCATCCCTTGGAAACAGAATGAGGCGACCAGCGCAGGAGATGTGAACAGCGATGGTACTTCCATCAAGAAGTGTAAGCAAATGATCCTGATATGGTGAAGGCATCAAAGGCTATTGGCTTCAATTCCTTTTTAATTCTCTTGTTTTTCCTGTTCTAGCCTGTGGTTTGTGGCTTCAGAGCACTTCTGCTCACATCACCATTTGCATTGCCTCCAGATTTGGCCCATCGCAGGGATGGGAGGAAGCAGGTCTCCAGCAGATGGCACTCAGAGCTGTCCCACACCCAGGCTTGCTCTTCCATAAGAAAAAAAAAATATCCAAACAATGGAACATTTGCCAAAAGGAGAAAGGAAATAAAAAAAGAAAAGTTATTTAACCCTGTGTAATATTTAAAGAGATTGTTATCATCTTATAGTGGTGTATTTAACGAAGGACAATGTGACAGTTCATGTGTAAATCAACCAGGATAAAACATACATTATATGTAAACTGTTATGTTTCTCCAGTCACTTTCAAACTAGGATTATCTCTGGCTATTGGTTAAGTTCAAGGAAAAGGATTAGCTACACAGGCATAGACAAAATAGGAAGCACGGAGTAATGAATACCCAAAGCAATTCAAAGCAAAAGTCAAGCCAGAAATGCAGGTCATGACAGAACTCAAACAGCAATCAGAAGACATATGCCTTAAATAGGTTCTCCTGCCAATGGTCTCCTCTTCTCCAGAGCCAAAGATCTGCAAGCAATACCTTTTGCTACTGAACAATGGCCTTGTAAGACTAACTTGGCCACCTTCTGCCCTCCTGCTCAAGTCCTACTGTTCTGACAAAGATTGTTAAATGTTGACTTGTAAACATTACCAGCAATTTTCAGGGTCAGGGAGGAAGATTTAAGTATCTCCATTAATGTCTGCTCTGCTCTTCTGCCAGAGGTTTCTTCGCTCTCCCTCCCCCGAATCTGGCCACCCAAAGAAGTAATTTGGCACTTGGTAAAACTAGCAGGGTGGGAACTTCTTAAAACAGGCTTGGAGAGATAAAGCAGCGAGTCGTTGTGAAATTTGGCTCACCATCCAAAGTCCTAGTGTCTGTTCTGGGTGTGCTGCTCTGCCATAGAGGGACCTTCAAAGCACCAGCTGACAGCAAATTAAAGGATGTGAAGAGTTGCTCCAAGAGTGAACTAATAATAACCATTCCTGGCCACTAGAAACAGAAGCCAGGAGAGAAGCAGTTCATATGGAAACGTTTCAGCAGGAGCAGAGAGCATCTTCAGCAGGGAAGAAAAGTTTGATTCGGCAGCAAATTAAGGAGATTGTGCTTGTATAAAGGTTCAGGGAGAGACAAACTGTATTTTGGCTACTGAAAGGTCCTCAAGGCTGCTGCCAAGCAGACCTGACACTGATCTGGAAGAACAGGCACGAAGAAACCGATACTTTCCTTATCCTTTTTGTCCTGAGCCAAAAGCTTCAGTGCAGAGCTCTGGGAATGGGCTCCACCCAGCTGTAATGCTGCAGAGGAATTGCAGCCTGGCTCGTTTGGATTTCTCAGGCAAGAGATGGCAATGAACTGTGGTTGCAGAGAGAGAGAGAGAGAGAAAGAAACAAAAAACTCTACCTCCTGCACACGTTCATAAAACCAGCCAATCCTCTCCCAAATCAATCTGCTCGCTCCCATCTCCACCCCGCTGGAGCTGTCTCCGTGGGCCACTTCCAAGTAGGGGAGAGGTTACAGCTCTCTGTTGTTGCCATTTTGGGAATGTTGTTTTATAGATTGGACTTGCTGTGGTTTGGGTGAAATGAAAGAGTTTGGCATAAAATCTCAAAAATTCAAACAAACAGGCTCTTTTTTTGGGAGCTTTTTCGATGTGTTTTTTTTTCCAGAAAGACTTTTTATAAATTCTTGTTAAATATGAAGTGATCTAAGGTGGCTTGTTCCCACCCACCCATCGAGTGCCAGAGACCAGCTGATTGCAGGGCACCTCTCACAGCACCCTCTTTATTAAGCCTGTAGTACATTCAGATCCACATCTGAAGGAAAGTGAGACCCTCTGCAATGAAGAACTTCAAAACGCTGTGAGATGTCTGAAGGCAGCCATCATTTCTGCCTTTCTCTGGGGCAGGAGCAGGACTGACGCCCTGGTGGTGGGTTTCAGTTTTGGTGATGTTCTGTTTGATGAGAAATTGTTCACTGAAATCAATGACTTCACTCTCCAAACAGCCTGCTGTGCCAAAGGCAAACCCTTCACTGCACTGACTGCACTGGCTGCTGTAGAGCACTGGGGAAATAAAAGTCTGAAGAGCATGGCAAAGACTGGATGTCTTAAAGATGCATTGGGGCTCCATTTAGGATCCTAACCTCTAATCTGCCCAATTAATCTGATGAAACAGATGTGAAGGAGGAAGAACAGCCAGTCTCCTAGGAATCCCAGAGACATTAGAAGGATATACTTGCCAGATGTTCCATGTTTGCTATCTGGAACGCCTCCTCCCTCCCTAACCGGACTTTCTGGCTCCATTTCCATGCACCCTGAACTACACCGTGTAGCAACATGCAGTTTGTAAAACACTGCTCAGGCTCTCTGTACTCACGTGCACTGCGGTGGCAAAAGATGGTTCTGCCAGTCAGAAAAAAAAGGTGCCGATTCAGAGATGTTCCAGTTGACAGAGCTGCTCTGGGGCTCTGTGCTTTGGTCCCTGCACTGTCTGGGAGAAGAATGTGCAGTGTCACTGCTCCCCTCACGCTGCTAGCAGCTCAGTGACGCTGGGGAGGACATTCCTTGAGGCTGTTTCTTTGGGAAAAAAAAAAAAAAAACCACAACTTCTTTGGGGGGGATCCCTGCAATGCTGGTGCCTTGTGCTCATCTCTATCCTAACGGCTCCCAACAGTATCATGGAAGGGCACTGGGACGAATAAACTCAGTCAATTTAAGGAAGGAAGAAGCAGGGGCAAAGGAATGAGATAAAATCTAGGACAACATAGCCAGCTATGGGATGTGTGCCAGGCATGGGGCAGAGTCCTCTGAGGGGAAGGGACAGAGTCTCAAAGGTAAACAGAAGAGGACAATTCTGCCTTGACCTTATGGGGGCAGCCTGCGTGCAATCACAGCCACCGCTCAGAAGTTCCCCCTGGGACATTTAAGATGAGTAAAACAAAATACCAGAAGTGAGCTGGACTGTGAAAAGACAGCCTGAAACATAAGATACGTTCTTCAACGCTCGTCTTTATTTTGCAGGGAACCTAGAACTCCAACAGGGGCTAAACAATCCCAAACAAACACGTCAATGACACAGGAAGTCCTTTTCCAAGATGGAGCAAATAATAACCAGTTTTAAAAAAAGGATTTTCTGGGGAAAGGCAAGGGAAATCCAGAACAGAACCCTGCTTTAAAAAACATAAATGAGATACCACTCATTTGAAATGCACAGGGTCCTTAAAAGGAGTGAGAGATCAGAGTCCCATTCAAGCCCCACACTGTAAGAAGGCATCACATAAAGGTGGTAGGTGAGATGCCACTCACTATCGTCAAGTGAATCGCCCAAAAAACAGCTTCCTTCCTGCTCAACACATCCTTAAAGACGTGGACTTGGAAATTCAGTACAAGGAGAACTGTGATTTGTAGGGATGTCATGCAGTTGGTGGCTTTTGAGAACTGTATCCACTGAGTCTGTGGGATTTGTCTGGACAATGCACCCTTCGTTGCTTTGATATACTTATTTGAAAGTGGCATTTAATCAATCCTCCTCTTTCAGGGAACCTCAGTGCAACCCTTCTGCACAATGTATGTCCCATGGCATTCAGAAATGGGGCATTCAATAGTCAGGCTGTGACATGTAAGTGCAGCAAGGCATCAGTGGCACTCAAGCTGCATCATAATCAACTCAAGAGTGATAAAGCACTAAGCTCCCAAATATCACCTCTGCACAGACTCATTTACAACTACCACTGAGTTGGTGAATGTTAAGAAACATCCTGCAGGACTGAGGGGTGTTTTTCCAAACGGAATTGATGAGAATAGGCTCAGCTAATGATTCTTTGATGCAGCTTTTTATATGGCATCATTGATATAAGTTTTATGGATGCAGTTGCTATAACAACACAATGCACAGTGGTTAAATATAGCAGCTCCTATTTTCCACTCAGTTTGCTCTGCCCTAAGCAGACAAGGCCTATTCTTTCCTGTTCTAGCTGGGATGAAATGGATTTGATAGCTCACCAAAGAAAATAAGTTGTACAGTCCTTCCCCCCACCCTCAGAAAGACCATTCCTTTCCACCCTGAGCAAGCAAGCAAACAACAAAACGAACAGCCTCCCATTTGCTGGGCTACTGTGCAAGAGGGCTTGTTTAAAATCAAAATGCACTGCGCAAGAGGGCTTGTTTAAAATCAAAATGCACAATGACTCATGCAAAACTAAACCACCTCAATATCACATGTGATCTCAGTGCAAACACTGTCATTTCAAAGTGCAGGAAAGAGAAGTTCTCAAATACTCCTGTCACGTAGTATTTACCGTGCTTATTCCTGTAGTGCCTAGTGACTGGCCAAATGCTGAGAGGGGAGTAAAGTGACCTTGATGTCACTCAAGACCTGCTCTTCCTTGTGGACACATGTACAGGATCCATCCTCTCTTAGCCACAGGGAAAGCTCTTATTTTGGGAGACGAGAGAATGTTGTTGCCAAGTCAAGGTGATGGGGTAAGAGGCAGAGCTACAGAGGATTGCTTCCAACTCTCCCTTCTTTGCTCAGTGGGATTCTCTTGGTTTTGGGTTGGGTTTTTTTTTTCCCCGTCTGGAAGCCAGAACTGAAATACTCCCAGGGGAGAGTGAAATCAAATAGCAATTTGTGTTCTTCTTCCATCCTGTTTTTTTTCTTATTTTTCCCTCGCAGAAGAACAAATCCACCCTTCAAACCTTGGCATTTCACAGTTCCTCCCAGATCTGAAGTCTAGACACATAGCAGCAGCTGGACTCCCTGCAAGCTGTCAGGAGGAAGGTTGCTGCAAGGGGAAGGGCACATTTCTTCTGAATAGTTCCTGCTCCTTTGAATATAACCTCGGTTTCACACACTAAAAAGAATATTTATGCCCTTAGCAGATAATACTGAGCATCTGCTCAGTATTATGACCATTTTCTGAACTGTTTTGCTCCTTGAAGCTGTTCAATAATTTGTACCTCCTGAAGCAAGGAGTTGTGGGACGGGTCACACAGCCTGTTCTACCCCTGCTCTTACAGAAAGCAATCTCTTAGGTAATGGGCACAAATCTATCTCCTGCAGACCAGGAACATTCAAAAGAGCTGAGGGGATCACTGCACCAGCCCTGGCTTCATCCTTTCCACTCACAGCCACAGTGGAGGCAGAACCCTGCAGACCTTGTTTAAAGATGGTTAATAAATACATTGCACATGATACCTGGAGGGGACAGTTCATTTGCCTTTTTCTTGCCATGTAGCACTGGGGCCCCAGGGGCAGCAAGCACTGCTCTGCAAAGCCCTGCTGGCAGGGAGGGACGTGAGGAGCCCCAGCGTATGCTCCCAGCGCTGCCTGGACTCACCAATATGTAAGAACTCATCAGGGCACTGAAAATCAGGAGTGAGACAGTCACGCTCTACTTCCTCCATGACACAAACTGAAAAATAATGAGGGCAAGCAAGCCACTAAAAATAAACTTAACCTTTCAGTGGCCACAGCATCACTCCTGCCATATGCAGATGACTGGGCTACCATGCTTATTTCTGCTGATTCAGGACTGGAAGAGAGACAAGACACAAACCAGCCCTTAGTTAATGAGAGCTGCTTATACTTTGGTGTCCCTATCAGCACATATCTCATCAACCCAGGGCAACTGTAGGCTAAGGACTAATGCAAAGGTCGGTTCAAGGGGCTCACAGATAATTAATACTTCCTGGTAACATACTCTGAGACAAGAAGAGGGTTAACATCCCCACTGCACACACAGGAAACCTAAAGCACGAAGGTGGGAAAGTGATTTCTGCACAGCCACAGAGTGAGACAACATCTGAGCTGGGATAAAATCAAGAGTATTCCTGAACTTTTACATGCATAATTCAGCTGCTGGCTTGTTTTCCCTGTATCTCTTCAGGATGTAGAGGGACAGGGACACCTAACAATCTGCCCTCCATTCCTCTTTGCAGGTCTGTAGAGCAATTGACTGAGCAAACAAAGGTCCAGGCAGCTGGAAGCTCTCTAGTCCCTCTGTGCTAATGGCGAGAGCATCGGTCATCAACCTCTGTTCCTCACTCACTCCTCAAATAACACTGCCCCGGAAAGCATCTCCCCCTTAGCCCAAACAAACACTCTGTTTGCTTTAACTCCACCCCCCTTCTGTCTGTTCGGCTGTTTCAGAAGTTGCTGGGAAAAGCCATGATCCCCTCCAACACCGAATTCCAGCCATCAGATAGCATCACAGCCACTCAGCATCCTCCCAGAGGAGCTCAGGAGGTCACAGGACGGGTTCTGTGGCACCGCAGCTTTCTCTAGGCAGGCGAGAAAGGCAAATCACTGTGATGCTGCTGTCGAGGAGAGCAATTTGAATTGTACAGATGGTTCAGAAAACAAATGGGTGCTAAAAATACAAGATACAATTGCAAAGAGTTCTTCTCGTGCCTGGGAAAGGCAGGGGCAGCTCTGGAGGTGATCTCTCTAGGACACACTGGAGCCTGAATGAGCATAGGGTTAAAATAAAACACAGTAGCTGCCTTGTCAGCAAAACGTGGGTGATTTTAATACAAGAGAGTTTTGTCTTGCAACCTTCCTACATCACAGCACAGAGGCTCTGAGAATGTAAAGAATGAATCAGTAAAGGAACGAACTGACTTAGAAAGTGGTAAATAGGGACAGCACCAGTGAGAGAGCAACGTCCTTGGGTCAGAGAGGTAAATTCAAGTATCTGGACAGGATGACAACATCCTCTGGAACAACAGTGCAGAACTTTCCAAAATCCAACTACCACAAGCTCAGGCACCAGCTATTCACAACACTCTCCTCAAATGAGAGGTGCAAAGTGACCTGTGGAATATTTTAGTGGGATGAAGAAGACAAAGAGCAAAGAGGGGCCGGTTAAAGGGAGACAGGCAAAGCACCAGCAGACAGAATAATAAAGCATGCTGTAGGTCGTTTGCAGAGCTGTGAGAGTTTCTCCAAGCAGTACTGTGTCCTATAGCCTGGCACTCAGTTATTGTTAATACCGCTTCTGGCTCTAGCTATTCATTTTCTGCTTACACACAAACACCACGTTCACTCTGTAACACTCTGATACGCATTCGGTGAAGCGTGCACAACACTGTACCTTAAAGCAGTGTAGAGAGAAATGTGGTTAGCATGACCACTCACTCCTCCTGCATCAAAGGTTATCACCTGCAATAAAACCAGAGAACAATAATCATTTTGAAGAAGGAGAGCGTGCAGCTACCAACTTTGACATCTAACACAGCATTGTCCCAACCCATTGTATCTAAAGAGTTGTTTTTGTGTTGCACAATGAGGCCTTGTGTGTGAACTCATGCTACAGAAATACAACTAAACAAACAAGACACTCTGGAACTAGATGACTACACACTCTAACAGCTTGAACAACAGAAGGATGACAAATATTGTGTTCCTACTGGCAGGATGCACTTGTTACTTATTACTGGGCCAAAAGGTTACTTTCAGTGATCTGTTGCAAACTTGTTCCTGACCCAAAAGGTCCAGCTCTATGAATCACTCGCTGCTGGATTTGAGAACATACTAGAATGCCTGTGGATGACAGGATGAAACTATAGTTTGTTGTACTGTGAATCAGGACATATTGCTTTAATGAGCAACACAATCACGTACTACTGTCCTGATTGTAAAGAGGCTTCATCACAGGGTAACACAGCGATAAAATAATCTGATATGAGAATGAGCCTTTTTAAAGAATTAGCTGACTGCACTTTTTGCACAACCAAGTCAGGCTTTTTGCTGAATGAGAAGATCGTATTGTTTATTGCTTCTCTGCAGGGAGAAATGGGAACTTTGTAATGCAGAAGTAATGTGTGAACACAGCACTAACAAGTCACCATCCAAAGCACAGAATAGCCCTGGCTCCCTGCCCTCAGACCTACCAATAACATGTCAGGGGTGAAGGACCCACCCCAAGGGCTCCCTCTGCACAGTGGGTAATTAAAGGCTCTCACTTCCAACCTAGAAAACAAACTGGCAGTGCAAAGTGTGTGTTGGCTTTCCAGATGGTGGAAGTGACAGTCCTTGGACACTCTAAAGTTAGGTTTTGCTGTGGGAGAGGCCAGGCAGCAGAGCTCTCCACAGCTCCCTTCTCCGTGACCAGGAAGAAATCATAACCTCCCCACATCTCAATCAATGTTTGCTTCCTTGCCAGCTTGTTCTCTCTTAAGGGAAGGAAATGCTGCTGCCTTCCTTACTCACCACAGCTCCCTTCTCAAATCCTATTTTATATGCAGGGCCTGAGTACTGGGTTAAAGATCAAGGGAAGATCAAAAGCCGCCCTGCCCGTCCTGCAACTCGCTGCTCCACCCTCCAACAGGAGAGGCCCTCTCAAACACAGGGGATATTGTGTAAAGAGGGAGAGGAAACACAAAGAGGGTGATAAGAAATACTTCAAAAACCACAAACTCCAGACAAGCCTGCTTATAAACCCATCCACCCAGTACAAATCCACAGTTAGACTTTCCACTTTGCCCACTGCCTGTAATAATGCTGCCACCAAGCAGTGGGGTTATTCATCGCTGGCAGGAAGTGGTGGAACCCAATTTGGTTTCATTCAGGTGCAAAGAAGCATTTTTCTGGTCAATCCCTATTTTATAAGGAGAAAAATTGCATGTCTTTGGCTTCTTTTGCTGTACATCAGCGTTACCTGAGTGGCTCCCTGCAGGGGCTGGCATGGTGCTAAGCCCTCCCTGAGGAGATCAGCTTTTCGAGTAGCTCATCTGGGAAAGACATTATTAAATTCTGTACAGCTCAGGGAATGAACTGTATTTTCTTCTGTATTTTACAGATAAGGAAAAACATGCTCTGAAGTCACTCCTACCTAGAGTGGTACTTTCCTAAGATGACAATGTACCCCCTCACTGCAGGCAGAATAAATTCCTGTGCAGGTGAATAACGATGTGAGTCTGCTAAGGGCTGGGCTTGCACTAAACCCTTTTGCTAATCGGTGACAGAGAGAGGGTTTGTCTCTTCTGCCTGGTCATTTATTTTCATGTAACCCATACAAATATAATTTTTTAAGACTATTACCCTGCTGTCAAATGCCGTTGAAATTAGCCAATGGGCTCTAAAGTCTTTTGAAACATGCATGTGCACACACATATAAATACAATTGCATTATTCTTGTTTCCTTAGGAAACCAAGCTAAAAACCCCAGGCAAGCCAAAACACACATTTTTCCTTCTATGGAAGGTACAAGAGAACAAACCAGAAGATTGAGATAAGAGAGTATAGTGAGCAGACTAAATAAGCTAATCATTGTTTTGACAAAACTGGCTCAGGCCAACTGTGGGAGCACAAGGCTGGGTTAGGAAATATTCTTGACGTGGAAATTATCTGTTCAGAAACACCTTTGGAGGTTTTTCTTCTCCACATCTGTTTTGAAATAGGAGCTGCTGTTCTTAGTGCTGCTGGGCTTACGTAACATCTGAACTAGCTAAAGAGGTTGCAGAGAGTTAATTTTCAACTGATGTTGTCTAATTTACTGTTAGGACATTTGCACCAGAATCGCCTGTCTCCTCAAATACACAAATTTGTAAGTACAATTCCCAAGGGAGCTGCACACTGACTCGGCCACGGTGGCATTCACTTTATCTGGAAAGAGACCACCTTTGAAAACTTGGCTCTTTACCTTTAGACATTCTTCCCAGCACACAGGCTGGCTCTGACACAGAAGTGATGTCCCACCTATCCATGTATGTAGCTTCTAGGTCTGTTGTCTCAACAGGGCACTGATTCCATCGCACCACTGCGGTGCTCGTGACTTAAAGCAGGCAGCAATCACATGGAAATATATTCCTGTGGCTTCAGGGATCTATTCCATTGATAACAAATCTGAATTTCTTTCTCATATGCTGAAGATAATTTTCACACGGGAGCATTTGCTTCTTCCACATGGAGCAGAGAGCTGGTGCACTTGCTTTTAACAACCAACATGAACCAGGCTGATGATGCAATCAAGCAAACAATCACGGAAGGATGAGAAAACCTGAACATCTTGAAACTGTCTGGGTTAAAAACAGGCTTAGCCAGTTCTGGGAGCAAAAGGCTGGGATAGGAAATATACTTGATGTGGAAATTATTGCTCAATGAAATCTTTAGGGCAAGAGGGAGTTCCCTCCCCACACCTGTTCTGAAATGGGAGCCGCTGCTCTTGGTGTTGCTGGGTTTCCTTCTGGGTGACCTTGGTATTCAGGAAATGGAACTTTCACTAGTGGAAGCCAGAGCAACAGCCAAGACAAACAGGTCCAGAAATCCCTTCCGGAGGGGGGAGAGCACAGAGGAAATTACTCAATTACTAGCAGAAGAGAAAAGTCCTGAGAGGTCTGGAGTCCATGCTCCCTCTACACACCATGTGAATTGGAGGAAAAAAATCACTCAAAGCTGTGGGTCTTCCTCACTCTTTCTGGCGTCATCCAGGGCTTCAAACAGAGCACACATCAGCTTGAGTAGACTGGTACAGATAGAAAGGTCTCTTTCCTTTTTAAGGACATCCCATAAAATGCCATAGCAAGGAACTCCATTTCTAATGGCCTTCCTTTGAGCATCACTTCATAGGCCTGACTTGCAGAGGCCAGTGACGTTCAAACTCCCTTTGATTCTCTTGTGTGTTTGGAGATGTCGCTTGTTGCTATTAAATCAGAGAAGCTAAAGGTTAAAAAGAACAAACTGGATGAAAAAGGAAAAATCTAATCATGATCAACATCCCAGTGCCCACTGGGTTTGAGCTGCAAGCACCAGCTCTTAGAATGAATGGTCCTGGGGGCCTCCCACTCATGAACCTCAAAGCACACCTGAGGAGACTGCAACACAAGCGAGGAAGGGAGGAAAAGGGATGCCAAAGTCTGTCCCAGCTCTGTTGCCTCCTCTAGCAAACTCCACAAGCTGCACTCCATAGTTGCTGTGCTGCAAAAGCATTTAAAGTCCTCTACAGACATCACACATTCAAATGCTCCTGAACTTTAGGAGTGTAGAGACCAAGATCCAAAACATGAGAGCTGAACTCACCCTCACAAATACAAGCTCCAACTTGAATGCCATTTGTAGAAGGATCTGGCTTTCTAGGCTGACTTGGAGCTGGCCCAAGATAACAGGACTGTTCCACAAAGAGCTGTATGGATGATGTTTCCATCAATCCATAGTGGAAAGCAGCTTGTAAGAACATGGTATTAATGAATTCTGGTCTTGGCTCTGCATCTGCCCCAAACACACTCTGAATGTCTCCTCCTAATCCAAGCTTTGCTATCACCAAATCCAAGATCCTGAAGAGTTTTCAGGATTTCATAATCTAGAGCCTGCCTGGGGCTCACACAATACTATGTAGCTTATTTTTTCACACACTGAACATTTTCTAATCTGAATCGAGACAGACCAGCCTTGGCTGCCTCTCCCAGAAACACTGGCTTTTGCTTATAAATCCAGAAGGCAGGAAATAATTTCCCAAGTCTATAAATTAGTTTTGGCTTTGAGTACACCAACCGTTAATTTCTGCGTCTGCATTATTTAATGTAGAGCTTGGATGAAATATGTCCCTGTAGCTCTCAAAAAGATTGAGTTACTCATGGACTTCCAGGGCAATTGAAGAAATGAGTAACTATGCAATGGAACAAACGTACACAGAACATGGTAGGTGACTCCATGCCTTGCAATGCTTCCTTTTGGACGTGTTGGAATTGCAGCCTGCTTCTCCACTGCCAGATGACACATATGTTCTGTAAATAAAAGATACCATTGTCTATGCTATGACTATGGGGAGAACTGGGGAAAGTTTTCCCACTGGGACAGCTAAAACAAGGCATGGCTTCCAATCACGTTAACTCCGCTGAGTTAGCTGGCAGTGTCTGAAACCCTGTTAGCTGATGTTTTGACAAGGCTCTTTTAACACATTAAGCCAATTCTATCAATTTCAACATTACTGAAAAATAGACTCAGTTTACCTTTCAAGCCAAAGCCTTTGTCTTAGGACAGCAGAGATGCTCCCAGAGTGGCTAGCAGATGGCAAGCTCTGAAGCTTTAAAATGCAGAACGTTCAACAAAGGTAATTAGGTGCTTGCCTTACTGTTGTTGGCAAACTAGGTCTGCTCCTAAATGAATGGCATTATAGCAAACATCTGAGACCTGACTGATTACTTGGGACACTTAAAATAATGAAAGTTTACAGAGCAGTTCATTACCATCATCCCCAAGAAGCTGCTTCTGTGGGTTTGGTGCTGCTGGCACGTTCTGATTTGTGCTCAGTGCTGCGCAGGGCAGAGCAGAGGGGCAGGCAGCGGGCTCTGCCACGGCGTTCATGTTCCTACAGCTGCACCCGTGTGAGATGTGATTTCTCAGCTCACTCTATGTTAGTGGCAGACTCCTGCCTCCCCCAGCACAAACAGCTTGAGTTTAATTTCCTCTGAGGCAAAGATCTAACCCTTTCTAACCATCTAGAAGAAGTTCGACTGTTTTCAAAATTTCTGCTGGGATTTTGGTGCACTTGTCCTAGTGCCCAGGAGAGTCACAAACATGCAATACAAATCCTCTTGCGTTGGAAGCTTTCAGATTAGATTAAAACCTATCTATTCATGGGGCCAAAAGGCACAAAGGAGCTCAGGAAAACTGCATTCATCCCTGTGCACAGCAATGAATTTCATGGAAAATTAGCCTCAAGTCAATACAAAGTTGGATGCATGATGCTGGTTTTTGTTCTCATGGGGCTTTCATGCTACAGGAGATGTGGTTTCTTCTTCTGTGAATTGCTGAAAGGCTTTAAGAATTTTGTGATTTTGCTTCTAATCAATGTGTGACAGTGACATGCCTGATCACAGCAAAGTTCAACAGAAAAGAACAGAACAGAACCTTTTCCATGCTTAGGCCCTCATATCTGTTCTGTGGGAAAAACCCCCCAAACTATACCAGTGCTAGAAAATCCCTGGTTTAATATACCTCGATCCTGACCTATAACCCTGCTGATCTAACTCTCTAACACACGCCTGCCAATGTACTTCAAACCTAAGACCAAACATAAGCCTAAATCCCAGACGGGCTCTCTTCATTGATGAAATCTAGCAAGAGGGGCAAAATGGTTGCTTTAAAATGTAAAAAACATTTGATGAGTTAGCAAAGCAAAATTCTTCCACTGTTCCTTTCTCACTGGGAAGCAAAGAAAGATCTACAGAGAGAAAAGGTATGTCCAAACTACACCATCATCCATTTCTATGTTTTTCAGTGGAGCAATTCTGTTTGTTCAGAACTTCTAGCAGTTGTTTGAAGCATTTGAAAGAGGATCAGAATGACCATGTCGTACTTGTCAAGGCACAGAAGCTGTGCAAATACTCATAAAAAGTCTTAGACTACAAAACACAAAATCACTTTCAAGGTATCACTTTAGACCTGAAATTCACTGGGCTTATTTAGAGGGCCTTATACAATTAATGAACTCCAAGATCTACTACAGTAGAACTTACTACTTCCAACAGAGTTCGCAGCTTTTAACCAATTTGAAGCTTTTACTTCAGTGAAGGTTGGTGACACTACAACCCAAAAAAGGCTTCATAAGATCTAGCTAGAGAAACACATAAATGTTATAAAGCAAATATTTCAAATTAGTAACTATACACTCTCTCTGTCTAGTCTCTGACTATTTCACAGAGACTCCAGAAGCAAAATCCTAACATTAATAAATCCAAAGAAAGCTTTCAGAGGGAAGGAAACAGCCTAGAACACTAGGTCAAAAGTAATGTGGGAATAGCTGATGCTGGAGAAAGTGTGACATTACCAGGTTGATGTTATTGGCTTCTATGTGCTTTAGCACAAAGGCAGCAAGGAGCCTCGTGTCCCATTCAACAGCAGGATTATCTGGAAGATCCCTGAAAATGAGAAGTACAATTAGTCACTTCACTGCTGAGGACTTTATAAAGATCATGCTAGAAAAGAGAGATCCGCTTACCAGAGAATTAAATCAACATAAATTTACTTACTATATAAAACCACCAAACCCTACTTAAAGAGTATTACAAGCTTGTATATTGGAGGGTGAAAGGGAAAGAGAAGTTCCAACACCCTCTCATAGATTTGCCAAGCTCTGCCTTTCTTCTTACCACTCAGGTAGACTTTTTGACTGCTTTACTTCAAGCAGCATCTGTTTTGTTCAGTGATTCTTGTTTTCTATTCATCCCAATCAAATTTCTTTCTCTCTTTCTTTAAGACCCCTTTTAAAAGACATTTTCCTGAAAGGGTTTCCAATCATAATCTATGAGTGAATTACATAAGAAAAGTAACAAGCAAACTCACGCTTTCATTTATACAGGAATAACCCATTAACCTCAACCAGAGGACAATAGAGCCATAATGATATTGCATGGATTTGATAGCAGTTCTTCATCTGTTTATTTTATGCTTTGCATACCAAGTGGGTATGCAAACCATACTGTGACTGAATACTCTGCCCGGGTATTTCAGATTGCAGGCTCCTAGGGGCAGGGACCATGAGCCAAATGCAAAATAACACCAGGCAGCCAAGAGAATGATTCCATATTTACACAACTGAGAGCTGAATTTGACCCCCCAGCCATTATGTTTGAATGATGCCAAGAAAACATTGCTTGCAAAGTTAAAAAGGTTATTAGTAACAATAGGATAACACACAGCTGCTAAAGACCAATAATGACATGTTAAACCGGTCTTTTTCTCAGACCTTTTCCGTCCTCTAATAGTCTGATAATTGCTGTGAGTTGGTTTAGCAGAAAAGTGACTCCACAGCTTCTCACACAGACACATGGATCTGGATCTGAACGGATCCAGCTGTTTGCTGCAGAGAGCAGGGGCGCTACCTCCCAGCGCTGCTCCAGCCTTGCTGACTCCCCAGACACCAAGGACGGTAACATCTGCAACAACACAACAGGAAAATGTCTACTTGGCACATTCCAAAGTAAAGCTCAGCCTGGGTCTTCATGAAAGGTCTTCTGGCCACAAATTTTCCCACTGCTGTTAATGGTAGTACTAGTAGAAAAGCCTAAAGTACAAACTGTCCATTATTAGCATTTTACCCATTGCGTTACGTACTCCTGCTCAGCACAGGCCAAAATAATGTGCTATTAAGAATCCCAGCAACAAGGGAAGGTGTTTCTCCATTAGTGTACACATTCAGCTATGGTCCCTGCGATGGTATTCACAGTTCTCTCTTGTACAGGCACCATGGTTGCCTGATGTATATAGGACATTTGAATTTCATCATAAAAAAGACGCTTTGGTACATCTGGAGGCTGTTTCATCAACTTAACAAACCTGCATCTCATCCGCTCAAGACAAAACCTTTCATGTCTCATGTTTGAAGAGGAAGTGGCCCTTTTGACCCCGAAGGTATTACAAGTCCCACCACGTCACAGCAAGCTTTAAATGGAGCACATTTTAAAAGTATGCTCAAACTAAACCATCCCAAACAGGATGCACACTGAGCAGAGTCTAAGTGCCAGTCTAACTGCGCTTCAGATGTATGAATGGTACCTTTGAGGTTATGTCAAGGCTTCATCTGATAATATGGAAGAAGTAAATTAGTCTAAAAGGGATTCTTCACTGGCCACTTACAATACAAATATCATTCCCCGTTTTGGACAGGAGTTAAATGGAGCTGTGGAGGAAGTGAAGAGTCCCATTAAAACAGGAGGGGTGCTCCAGCAGTAAGAGGTTAGAAAAAAAAAGTAAAGCTTGGAATTTATGATGTCCAGGAGGCTTTGGTGTCACAGCCACTGCACTCAGCTTTATTGGGCTGTCTCCAAAAAGGCTGCCGGGTAGTGGAGCAGGTTTTAACTAGTTTAGACAGATAAAGATCACCCTCGTTCAATGGAAATGAACAGCTGGAGGCAAGGGTTTAGAATCCCTGGAAACAAAACAATCTGAAGGCATGAGCAAATTAACTCCATGAACACTGAACTGATTAAGCAGAAATATTCTGCAAAAAAATTCTGCTTCTACCCACTTATGCTGCTCATGGAGAGACCTCTCTCTCCCAGCAAGGAAAAGGAACTATTTATCTTGCATAATATTTGTCAGGCACCAAAGACAGAGAAGCTGATCTTGCAAACAAGACACACATGTATGTAAGTACATTCATAACTCATTAATAGCCACGATGGCCCACTGAAGTATTCTTAGCTCATTCTGCAAACATGAAAAGTGACACACAGGTTAAATGACTTGCCCAAGTCACCCAGAGAAGTCAGTAGCAGAACTGGCAATGCATTAATCTAGATTGCTGCAGGAAATTACTTTTTTCTTTGTAAGAGTTTAATACTTTGTAAAGTCAAAAATTTAAGTGTTACCATGATAGTAGGGACCCCACAGAAAGCATGAGACCAATAAGTTTCTGCCTGTGCTCTGGATATTAATAATTGGGTCCAGGTAAGGATTAAAAGGTGACTAAAAAAACCCAAGCTAATATACACCCTACAATGCACACAAGACCCATTCTTACAGGAGGTCTCTACCTGGCTGCACTATTGAAATAAATTGCATTCAATGTGGTTTTACCTTGAGGACTTAGCACCACAGACATTCAGCATTTAAATGGTTAACTCCACGCTGCTTTTCTGGCTAAGGCTGATAATGCCTCTGAGCTCAAGGTCGAGGGGCTGAGATAAAGGACTATAAAGGAGTGAAAATTAGCACATTCCCTGGAGCAGACTGGAGCTTGTCCCAGGTTCCTCACCCGCCCTCCCTGTCCTCTGCCCCAGAGAGCTCCTTGTTGCTGCTGTCAGTCACCACCACAGACCAAGACATGAATCCTGCACTGGAGGGGCCCCCCAGGTCAAACTGCTGGGGGCTGCTGGTGGGAAGGAAATAGGGGTTTGGTCACTTGGCCCCATTTCACCAGACTACAATGGTCACGAAGTGATGTTTTTGGGAATTCCACATGATTGATACCGAATGCAGGTGGCTGCTTGGATGCAGCCCTTGTTGACCAGGGAAAAGCTGGGAGATGCATAGAAGGAGCAAAAAAATTATTTATAATGGAATAAGGCTCCAGAAATGTTGTTTTAAGGCTCCAGAAATGTTGTTTTTCCATCTATTTCCAGTGAAAGCCATGCTGTACTGAGAATTTACAGCTGTGCTTCAGTCTACAGACTGACGAGTGACAGAAATGGAGAATGATGGTGCTGCAGTGTCTGTCTGTCTCTGCTCACTGATTTCAGCAGGATCAGTCCTGGGAAACACTGTTCAGAAAGCAAAACCCTGTCCCTTTCTATTTATCCATCCACTGTTGGTAGTGAGAACCGGAGAGGACCCAAGGTTTTCTCCTTCTCACCTCCTGGCTTTCCTCCTTTCCAAGCTGAGCAGACACAGCAGACACTGACACCCACAGTTCCCCTTCCTGAGGTTTGCATAGGAAGAATATGGAGGATGTCCTGGAAATCCTGGCTCAGGCACCAGACAGCTACAAGGGGGCCACAGCAAATCACATCAGGATGTTAAACCAAAAGTCAACCTTGTGCAGATCTTGCCCAGCAGTCTTACAGCTGCTTGAATGAAAGAAATGTTAAAAATCACTGCCTGATGCCAGCTCCTCTCCAGGCCTCCTCCTTTTGCCTGCTGTGGGCTGTGGAGCGTAGCTCCAGCCTTGGCCATTAAACCCCTGTGCATGTTGCCAGTAATGCTGTCCCTGCCAGTAGCCTGGACAGTTTTGTAGGGTCAGCTTTCTAGGAACATTTGGGCTCAAGATGGCTAGATTCCTGTCATTTGGAAGGTCTCTTCTGGCCAAGATAGAGATTTAAAAACCTACATAGATATATATTGCCAAGTTACACCCTTCCTACACGATAGACTGCTCAATCCCCATCCAATTTTCCACTGCTCATCTACCACAGATCTTTTAGCAACAGCCAGAGCATTTATACGTACAACTTCTTTTAAAGTCTTCCAGAGAATTTATTCTGCTCATGAACTAAGCTCTCATGACAGCTCTAAAGGTTAAGTTAAACTAAACAGTTAGTCTATGTGATGTCCACGTGGTTTAACACACAGCAAATGGGCTGTCCCATATGGGACACTTGCAGTTAGAGTAACCTTGAGATCTGTCCCTCCTGCAGTCTGTTGAATGGGACAATCCTCAGGCCCCCGGGGGAGTTAGGGAGCAGTGTCTCTCCTTAGGTGACACTTACCCTGATGGGGACTGGAAGCACCCTCTGCCTTGACACAAAGCCTTTATAGGAGGCAACAGGGACAGGAGCAGAGTGGCAATGGGGTTCCTTCTAGAAGACACTTAGGTCTCCATTAATACATTCTGAGACACCAGAGTAAAACTTTCAAGGCACTAATGTGATTTTCTATTCCACTACACACAAAAAGGGTCAAGATGAAAGAGCCTTCCCATTTCTTATTGCCTTTTTATCCTGCTGCATGACCTTAATCAATCCAAGGCCAGGGACCAGGAAACATTTTTGCATAATTTTTCCTCCTTATCCCTCCTCTCCCCTGTGAATGATTTTACATTAAATCAGCACAAAGGTCGGTAGATTGATGGTGAATTACATAGGAAACAGGTGAACTGCTGTGCACTGAGTTCCCAGCTGAGAACAATGACCGCAATGTGTTTGTTGGAACAAAGGATGCCCTTTATATAAAGTTAACTGTATGAAATGAACATCTGGGCAATTGAAACTGGATCAAAAAGCAAAAGATCCCACAGAACAAAATGACGTGAGTGCACAATTAGTGAAAAAGCCATGTGATGACTAGAGGCAATCAGTGACCTTTATATCAGAGCATCAAAGTAATTGAAAAAACTGTGTAAACAGAAATTATTTCATGCTCTCTAAAGTAGAGCAGAGAATTTTTATTTTTGAGATTACACTAAGATAAGTTAAGACAGGCT